ACAAGTACAAAATGATTACGAGGTCGGTCAATTGGACCGACCTCGTAGCGAGAGTCTGTAATAATCAAAACATGGTTTGACTCAACTTTGTTTTCCTTATACACAAGTCCTAGGCTCTTAGTTACACTACATCGATGACCATGATAGTATGATAAACAAAGTACATACTAACAGTCAGGAACATATAAATTCTAACTGGAGCAATATTTAAGTCAAGTATGAATTTTACAGTGTAACATTAAATGTTAATATTGAAAGTAATGTAGGGATGATCTATGTATAGTTGTGTCATCGCTATATTCTTGTTTGCATTCTTTTTTGGCATTGCCATCCCTACATCATTTTACATTTACAAAATGTTTTTTCGTGACGTTTTTTCCCCTGACTGAAATTTAGTGTATTCTATGAATGTGTGTAATAAAATTTAATATTATGTGTACTGATTTAATTTTTACTCCTTCATTTCCTACATAATATAGGGGTTAGCTCCACAAAGACATCATTTGTATAGTGTACAAAGCATTGAGTATTCTACATGTTACAGTTATCTAATGTTCATCTATTGTTGACTGGTAATTCTTGTTTTACTCTCTTAGGCTCTTCAAAGGAACACTAGATTTCTATATAAAAGCTAATTTCAAGGGATAATGATAACATCATTTACAGTAGAATTACGATTTCTTTTATTACTACTGGTTATTACGGCTAAGCGATGATATCGTGCACTGCCCAAAAACACATAGAGTGGATTTAGTTTTAAACTAACGTTAGTGATAAAATAGTTGTAGAGTTTCCTCGACTGAAACAAGAAGAAAGGTGGACAATTTGATGGGTTGTTACTTTCTGGTTTAATATCTTAGCGATGTTTCTTGCCTTGGTTTTGAGCTTGTTGAGTAGAGAAAATAAAAGTAAACGGCAATCATCTTTCAAAGCAAAACTCTCTGTCACCGTTGATTTTTTAACGTGCATATTTGTATTATGCCTACTGAGTACCTTGACTATCCCTACATATAGTTATCACATAACCAGGCCCAGAGAGAGCCAATGGTAGAGCTCCCAATCAAACCATCGAAGGTGGTAATAAACCATTCCATGTTAGAACAGATTCCTGTGTACAAGAGGCATCACCAGGAGATGTCTGCCAGATAGACCAAAACCTGGGCCCTCTACAACTGAGAAAGGGACCAACAGAAGTAGAGAGCAGAGCCTTCATCGCAACTCAAGGAGGAGTTATGCCACTTGTAAGTCAAGCTAATGTAAAACAGAGGAACACTGAACACTAACCACGTGAATCTTATTTGAAACATCGAATGAAAGTTGAGCTGGTGTCATGTTTTAACATCGACAGGCACTTAAGATTCCATGTGAGCCATTTTGTATCTGTTCTTCTGGAGTTATCAGAAACTCGAATTAGCTGTCCTATAGTGATTGATTTTATGGTCAGTTACGAGCCAATAGCACTAAATGCCGTGACACTCTAGCAGGGACTGGAATTGAAAAAACACCACAGCAACAATAGAAAACATATTTAGTGAAACGTATCAGAATTTATAGTAATCTGTAAAAATTCATAGATTGAAGATGATACACAAAATATGTACACGTGAAGTTTCATGAAAATTGGAAAAGTATTAAGTATTAAAAAGAACAACATAACAGATAAAAAGTACTCAAATATGATAATATGTATTTAACGGATTTATATAACAAAATGTGTTTATTCCGGAAATTCGCAGAAAGCTACACAAGGGCTATCTGTACTAGCCGTCCCTAATTTTGAACTCATAGACTAGAGATAAGGTAGCTAGTCAACAGCAACCACCGCCAACTCTCGGACTGCTCTAATCAAACAGTTGAATTTGACCGTCCGAAAAATGCGGAGAGCGTTCTTTTTTTTTTTTTTTGCCGTAACAGAACATGCACCGTGTACCTTCGAATACGCAGCCCAACACGTTAACCATTAATCTACGCCTGGACAAGATAGCAAAATAATATTTGTTTTCTGTTTTCATGCTTAGTTTTGTTTTTGTTATAATGAATAAGATCTCAGTTTTCACGAATAATTGTACCTGTACATATTTTGTGTATCTTCTTCGAAGTACATATTTTAACAAATCATTGATGATAGAATTCGTATATTCCAAGATGTTTCTTCAAATATGTTTACATTTGTTACCGTTGTGAATCTGTTTTTGCACACAGTGCTGTTTGATTGATGTGTATATTTAGCACATTGAATTCCTGAAAGCCCAATTTTTATATTCACGAGAATGAAGTGAAATACATGTTGCAAAATTCTTACGAATATCACATCATGTCACTGGGTGGCGCTATATTAGCTCCTAAAAATAAATAAATAAATAAAGGTCAAAGGATGTGGTAAAGAAGACTTTGGTTTGGTTGCATCAGTTAAACTTGTAAAAAAGAACAGTAGTCACGTTATTTCCAATAAACAGATGATGACAAAACGAAACAGGAAGTTTTCTCAGTGTGAACAGCACAGACCGTTTTTTTTTATCATCTCCAAACAGCCAATTACACACGGAAGAATCGCCAAAAACGCTACCATGTTTCATCTTTTTTTTTTTCTTTCTAAAAATAAAATATCGATTTGTTTTTAGTTGCAGTACTGCATTTTTCCAAAAGTAAATGGTTCTTTATTGAAATTGAAGGAAATATGTGATGCCTAAAATATAATGTATTTTCTGTATAATTATAACTAAAACTATTGAGTGGTTTGTGGTAAAAAATAATAAATAAAATATTTCTGTTTTTCCTTACATTGAAACTTCTTGTTTTAAATATCAACGCCAATGAATACACATCTTGGTTTGTATATATGCATAGATGCATGTATGTACGGACACGAATGATAGGATAAATATTTTCTCAAGGACAGTATCCTATCTTCATTTTCTGTTCTTCCATAAGTTGCAATTGATCTGGCCTTTCTTCACGAAACTTTATTTACAATCTACGAGTCACCTTTAATATTATCGTAACAAGTCTTCTTCGTGTTCTTTCCTTAAGCTAAATGTTATGAAGTACACACATCGCTTATTTTGTACATTTTAGGAGACACTTTATCAATAATGAACAAACTGATAAAGAGTAAAACAGGAATTCTTCAAAAACTTAAGAAATAAAAAAATGAATAAAATACTTTAAGCAGATGAGAACATACTTGAAGAAAAATAAAGTTTGTTTAAAAAAAAAAGCCGAAACATCGAATGTCGCTGAATCGTAGTTGACGAAATACGTTTTTCCTTTGCTGGTATCTAAATTTTTACAACATTTTTATTCAATGGTTAAAACAAGTATTTATGAAATATGTAAATTATCATTAATCAAAACCCGGTTTTTTGTGCTATAAGCCCTCAGAATTACCGCCGAATCACTGGGGAGAGGGGGAGGGCAGCATGTATTGGAATAAAGAGTATTATTAGTTATGAAACGATTCCTTTAAACCTTTTGTTAGTTGTGAAAAAAAGTAAATAATTCATGGTGCTTTGGATTTGTATGTTTATTTCATAATTTTTATAGTGTCTATTTTTAAAATTAATTACAGAAAAATGTTAGCAGTAAAACCTAGGTCATGATGCTTAAAATACTCCAAGAAATGGGTTACCAATTCTATTTTTTGTTACAACTTTTTGACTGATTCAAGCTACTTTTATAGAAGCCCTAAAAGAAATATACTATTAATTATACAGGTAGACATATCCACTCTCTCTCCTGAAGTACGATTTATTCTGTGAAGCTGTGTTTCATCCTGATAAACCATCCCTTCCTCAAAATATCGAACAAATTCTGTCATTTGGAGGGGGGGGGGGGGGTGAATACTTTTCTCCTTTTATTTATATCTAGCGAAGTTCTTTGCAGATATATATCCCTCCATCTTCGTTACTTTTGGATCAACGCACACGGTTTACATTGCGACTTGTTTTCATTTTACGTAAAGGTGCTCGTATATATATGGTTGGGCAACACGACAGCAAATACAACGAATTCATTTTCGAACGTAATATTTCAATTAAACAAAAGCCAAGTTAACAATAGAATAAAATAAGGTAAATACTTCCCTTCAAAATCTTGAAAACACTTACTACAAACAAAGTAATTTCATATTTTTTTTCTAATATAAAATGCTGGATCCAAAATCATCAACTCATAAAATTCCCTCTACATTTGCTATTACTTAACGATTTTTCTGATACACAAGTTAATAATTTAATCACTGATTTTCTAATAATTAACTTTAAATTTGAATGTTCAGGTAAATCCAAATCTGAAGCATATATATCTCACCTTTAACTTTGTTGTTTTGAATATTCCAAAACCTCGGTTTCTAAACCTATACATAAGAACGTATTTCTATCTTAAAACTCATTAGTACACAAAAAATCATTATTTTACTCATTTTGAGCTTTCAATATTCAAGGTGTTATAAACTTTAATAAATATTTTATAATTATCTATGACTATGTACTAAAAATAATTCAAAAGTTCACCGTCATGAGTGTGTGAATTTTAGGCAGTTTTGAAATTGTACACGAAAGATATCTTTAAAAGACCCCTAAACATGCGTGAAAACCTATTAATTCCTTCACTGTGGAAAGTGAAGTTAATCACAGTTCATAAAACCGTTGATCCAAGTCCCATGCTGCTCTTGGAACTATTTATTCCACTGTCGCCCTTGGTTATTCTGATGGCTATAATTATGTATTAATTCCACAATTTCTACAGAAACAAACTTTTTCATAGGACGTCAACGAGGTCAATCTTAGGAAGATCCGTCTTGGCAAACTTTCTCTCCACTCTTCGTAGATATCGGTTGTGAAAATTGCTTTTAAGCATACCAAAAGCATAAAAGAGCTGGGTCGAGGAACTTGACAGGCATATGGTCAAAAGAAATGCTGTGATTCGGGTGTCTTTGGCATCTTTATCATGAAAAAAGCTGTCGATTTGAAAGTATGGCTAAAAACTTGTGAACCTTCGGCCAATGGATCTTCAAAAAATTCAAATTCAAGAGAAATGTCCATTTTAATTATAATATGTGTTTTTTTGGGGGGTCAGAGGATTCTCTTTCATAACCATACCCTTCACTTTGTGGATGAGAGCGTTGCTCCTGGTTAGTCTGGAATGTAGTTTTGGAGTCCGTTATTGTTGTAAACGCTTTGAATACGAGCTTTTCTGCTCCATGAAGAACATTAAAGTTCCATTTTCAAAATATTATGTCTTTTGGCTCTAAATAGTTTACCCATCTAGCTATTTAAATCTATATTTTTGAAAACCATTAATTCTACCAGTGGCGGTATTGAACTATCAAGCTATAGGGAATTCACCATAAACCAAATATATAGGTGCTAAATATGTCGCCCTTAACCACACAATATCTTGATTTGAAAACTCATTTTTATATGTTATTCTCCTGAGTGAACTTTTCTGTGAGGTTCAGTACATTTCAAATCCACACATATGTGAAACATGCTTTAAGATATAATCTAATACACAATTCCAATTGTTGACTTATACTCTTTAATATTTTTACGTGTCATTCTCCTAGATGAATTTTTCTATTATGTCCAATACTTTTAAAATCCATACAAAACTATAATCTAACACACAATTCCAATTGTTGACTAATAACTGTATTTTTAAGTTTTAGGCCCCATGGCCTTTTGAATCCCAACAACTATTGTGAATAACGATTTTTTTATTTGCTCACTCGAGATGGACGATTAATCTATCACCTATGAGTATTGAGTATGTAATCAATTAATCGAAATTAATGTTTATTGTTTTTGATTATTTCAACTATCCAAGTAATCGGAATATTGCCAATAGGATTATTATTTTCGATTAATTCAAGGTTGTTCACCTTAATCGGTTAACGTCACGACTCATAAAAATAATCAACTAATGAAAACTAGTATTTCATTTATCACTATTTTCCATTATTCCAGTTTCTAAGGACTTACAACGCTATAAACCGGGTTTTGTGCTTAACTTCGAAACAACAACAACAGTTATTCCAGTTTTCCAAGTAATTTCGTTTAATCTATTTGTTTGTTTAATTTCACGTAAAGTTATTCGAGGGCTACCTGCGCTAAGCCATTTGAGGACTACTTGCGATAAGCTGTTTGAGGGCTACCTACACTAAGTCATTCGATGGCTACCTGCGCTAAACTATTTGAGGGTTACCTGTACTAAGCTATTCGAGGGCTACCTGCGCTAAGCTATTCGAGGGATACTTGCACTAAGCTATTCGAGGGCTACCTGCGCTAAGCTATTTGAAAGTTACCTGTACTAAGCTATTCGAGGGCTACCTGCGCTAAGCTATTCGAGGGATACTTGCACTAAGCTATTCGAGGGCTACCTGCGCTAAGCTATTTGAGGGTTACCTGTACTAAGCTATTTGAGGGCTACCTGCGCTAAACGTCCCTAATTTAGAAGTGATAGAATAGAGGGAAATTCCGTTTGTGCTAACATCACTATTTGAATATAATTATTCAAACATTCATAGTTAGTACTGTTTTCCAGGCTTGTGATAGTGAGGAGGAAACCTTTATAACGATTCATGGTTCTCCTATAAATATTACGTTATTTGGCCCTCTGAGAAAGTTTACACTAGCTTTCTGAATAGTGAGTGGTTCGTTATCTTGGGTGAATCTTTCGTCGGTTGTTTAAATATGGGCATGTCATAGATTATTTGTTTAAGTCGAATCAGAACGAAGCGCGTGAGCAAAGTTTAGCAGTATGCATCTGAATAAACGAAAACTTAGGATAAACAAACCAAGTCTAGATCTTGTTTACACAGTCAAAAAGTATGAACATAGAACACCTGGACACTACATCTTTCCTTTCCAATAAATATATAGTTCGTGAGGAATTCAAAGTCATTTGATGTGTACAATGAAAAAAAAAAGCGTTAATAAGTTATTTAAGACTTTCTTGTGGCTTGTTTGTTGTAGAGCAAAGGCACATTGGGTTATCTGATATGTCCACGGTGCGGAATCGAACCATGGGTTTTATCGTTGGAAGCCCATAGACTTACCACTGTCCTACCGGGGGGATTATTATGGTATTAAAAATATTTTATTATTATCTGACTTATTCATTCAACGCACCATGAAGACATAAGAGACCCCCAGGGTGACACAGTGGGACAGATCCCCTTCCTCTATTCACTTCGCGGGTGACCCTAAGAACATGACAGGTTTGGTGACAATCGATCCAACGGTTTTGTCAAATAATGGTTTAAGTTTAATTAAAGGGGTTTAAGAAAAATGTGTTAGTTTGCATTTATGTTGGTTCATTAAACTTGCTTTATAATAGCTTTTATTTGGTACAAGTAAAAGTAAATGTTTCTTATATGCACAATACTGACGGGGGCTTTTAAAGCTTACTATGACACTAAAAAACGCCACCAGAAGCACCCCAAGAAACGACATAAGACAGCTTCTAAATGTTTGTATGATTGTCTTTTAAAGACGCAAAACTACACAGTGGGTTGTCTACACTGTGCCAACTGTGGGTACTGAACCCTGATTTATAGCATTATAAACTCCCAGGAAAGCATACCGTTGAGATAGTGTGGTCATTTTTCAAAGAATGATATTCTCTTATGAAATACAATGAGAATTTGTAAAGACAAAAAAAAAAAAGTTCAATGTGATACGTCAACTGAAAACCCGCTAGTTAGAGCCACACTAGCTATTTATAAATATTGACAACTCAAAATGAAACCGTAATATAAGGATGTAAACACATACTCAGATATAGCTACACTATCCAGAAAACGATTAATCTTTAGAACTTTGGCATAAACATGAAACCTTGAAATTTTATTAAAACAGGCAGTTACACAATAGATCATTATTTCAGTTTCAAATTTATTTGTCTTTTCATACTAAAATACGAGTTCAATACTGAACTACTCGTATTTAAGTATGAAAAGACAAGTTCATTTGATGCTCAAACTTGGCTTCAACCACGTGTCTTTGAAGTATATCTCGGCAAAAATATACTTCATATGTTTTTTCGTTTTATATTTGTTCGGTAATGTTATAAGTTCATTTTTGTGAGAGAGCAAATAACGATATTTTTATAACTTAGATAGAAAACGTTTCTTGTCCTCCGGTGGAACAGCAATAAGTGCATAGACTTATAACACTAAAATCCGGTGTTCGATTCAACGCGGTGGGCACAGCAGATAGCCAAATATGGCTTTGCTCTAAAACGAACAAACAAAACGTTTCTTTTGGCATTAGTATTTTCAACCTGAAGCTAAACAAGCAGGCCAGGTTAAGTCAGTTATACCTAGCTTTAGAACTCCTGACTAGAGGAAAGACAAACAGTTAGCAACACCTGTCGCCTACGAGGCTACCATTATCAGAATAGTGAGACTGACTTTTGCTATTATCGCACCTCTACAGCTGAAAGTGTGGAACGTGCACAGCGACGTATCGTGGCTCGAACCTCCGATCTTCGGATACGTAGTCTGCTACATAACTACAAGACTACGACCGATTCGTTTCCTATAATAAAAATATTAATAACTAGTATAAAAGTCCATCAAAAATGACGGGAAACCAGTGTTGAATGATTAAAGAAAATACAAAATTTAACTGAAACGAATTTGTCTGTACCTCCAACATACCCCTACTCTTCACTTATTTCATCAGTCTCAAAGTAATTTTTTTAATCACCAGATTTTAGTAAAAACTATGCAGGAAAATGAAATGTTATCGTGAACGAAAGTATGTGTGCACTCTGAAAGAGGCTTAAATAGCACACTTGAGCCCTTTCACTGTA